ATAAAGATCGCCTAATATCCTTAATTGAACTCTAAGTTGTTTATAAATAGCTCGATAATAATCTAAATAAAAGATTCATCCGCAAATTCTACTCCCAATCGGCTGCTTCATTCCTTTTAGCTACAAAACCTAAAGGGAGTATTCGAATTTGTTAGAACTACCATGAACTAAATAATGTTACTATTAAGAACTATTATTTGCTACTATTAATCAAAGAAACCCTCGATACCTTATACTATACTAAAGTTTATACCAAATTGAATATTATTACTATATTCAATAAACTACGGATTGCAAAAGATCACAAATAGAAAACTGTTTTTATAATTTGTTTCGACTTATTCGAATCCTTGATAATACCTTTCAGCCTTTACAATACTCCTGCCTTGTTTTAGAACTATATCAATCATATTCTTTTTAATCTCCTGAATAAGAATTGTACAGTATACCTAAACGATATCTTGATCTACTCTAAGAATGTTACAGATCATCGAAAGCAAATTTACAAAATTATATAGAGACTCATTAACACTGAATTACAAATTGATATTGATAAATGCGAATTCGAAACGAAAAGAACAAAGTATTTTGGCCTAATCATTACTCCTAGTAGTATCGAGATGGATTCCGATAAGGTTAAGACTATCCTCGAATAGAAATCATTAACTAAGCTAAAAGACCTCCAACACTTTCTAGAATTCGCCAACTTCTACCAACACTTCATTCGCAACTTTTCTAAAATCATAGAACCTTTAAAACCGTCTACTGAAAAAAGAGAATATATAAAATTAGACTACTGATCAAAAAAATACCTTTAAAAACCTGAAACATGCCTTTGCCTTTATTCTAATCCTTACAATATTTGATCACCACCGCCACACAGTTGTTGAGATAGATGCTTTCGATTGGACTACAGGCAGAATACTCTTTTAGTATAATAATAAGGGTTGACTATACCCGGTTACATATTTCTCCTCAAAATACAGTGTTGCCAAATATAACTACAAAATCTATAATAAAAAACTACTAGCTATCATCAAGTTTTTAGAAGAATGGAGATCCAAATTATATAAAACTCAAGAGCCATTCGAGATCATTACTAATTATAAGAATCTAGAATACTTTATATTAATAAAGATATTAAATCAAAAACAAGCTAAATGAACTGAATTCCTGGCTGGTTTCAATTTTCGTATTATATACAGATCGGGTCTTAAAGCAGTTTGCCTTGATGCATTAAATAGAAAAGCAGAAGATTGCTTTATACACACTGATTCTAATAACAATCGAATCAAGAATCGCTTATAAATAGTTCTCCCGAAAAGAGTATTCGACACCGCTGCATTCAAGAATTTTATTTGATAAACAAATAATAATATCGATTTCATTGCAATGCTTATAGATATAATTATCCTTAATATTGAGAAGCTGATCAATGATCTTATTGATAAAGTATACGAATTATCCGAATTGGTTATTATTATACATAAAACATTTCAGAACCCAATTGTTTGCTATTAGCTATTATTGATTCGAAAAGATCTTCGAATCACTTTTCAAGACTATAGATTAATCAATAATAAAATTTTCTATCACAACCGCCTCTTTATTCCCCCTTCCGCTAAACTTTGCATCCAAATCATATACCGAATGTATTCTATTGGTCCGGCAGGATATTCCAATCGAGTTAAAACTATTAATCTTATCTCCTGTATATACTAATGGTCTAATATATCGAGGGAAATCGAAACTTATATATAAACCTATCAACTCTACTTCCAAACCAAAGCCTCCCGTCTTACTGCATCCAGATTCCTAGAACCCCTGTTAGTACCATTTCGCTCCTGGTCCGATATCTTTATTGATTATATTATATTGCTATTAATTAACAAATACTATAGCAAAAAGTATTAATATATCGTTATAATTATCTGCCGTCTAACGAAAATGCATCATTTTATTCCGATTATAGGACTATTCGCAGAGGAGCTTGCTGATTGGTTTATCGAAAAAGTCTACTACCTATACAATACACCTAATAATATAATATTCGATAGAGATTCACAATTTATATCAGAATTCTGAAAGCATTTATCCAAATATCTATCAATCACTTTAAAACGATCCTTTTCGTTTTATCTCGAGTCCAATAGATAAACAGAAAGGATCAATATTATAGTAGAATAATATCTTTAGGCTTTTATAAACTTTTACTAAAATGATTAGTACAATTGATTTCTATTTGCAAAGTTTACATTTAATAATACTATTTCAAAGATTACTGGTATATTCTTATTTTTCGCTAATTATAGTTTTCATCTATGTTTTGGTATTGAGCCCTTTTCACTTATTCCCCCAAATCTATTATATTAATGTAAATACAAATTTCTAAAGGCCAACAAGATTACAAACCGATTTGATATTATTCTAATAAAATTAAAAGCCCTAATTACTCAATCCATTTAGAGATATAAAGATTACACTAACAAAACTCATACCGATATTCCTTTATACAAAAAAGATAACAAAATATAGATTAGTATTAAAAATATAAAAACTAATTGTTTAATAAAGAAAGGTAATAACAATAGGATAGTCCCTATAAGATTCTAAAAGTTTATAAACAAGTCTATCTATTCCAGCTCCCTATTAGTTTTAAAATCTTTTCAGTAGTCTATAACTCATTACTTTAACCACTCTACCGCTTATCTAGATTAGCTAATCAAAAAGCAATCAACGAAACCGAATCCTATCGAAATCAAGGCTGTATCCTAAAAAAAGATAACAAAACAAATAAGGAAATCGAGTAATAGAAATTCGATAAACTATTTGATTGTTATAATAAGGACGGATTTTATTATTAAGTTAAATAGAAATATCACTCAATATTTTAGTAATCTGTTAAAGATTTTATAGTCAAAAAGATATGATTATTGCTTTCCATTTAGCAAATCCAAATAAACCAGAATCGCTTGTTTAAATAAACTTCAAAAGATCTACTACTTTTAATCCCCCATTAATATTTACACTAAATATACTCTCGAATCGAGGCCGAAGCAAACCTAAAAAGCTCTGGTAATTGATTATTACTCTCAAGAAAGTTCATTTTAATTCAATAATAGAAATTAGAGTATTTTAATATTATTTTGTTTTCTAAAAGATCAATTGATATTGCAATTGTGGATCGATTACTTTGAGCGGGGGGTACTATTACGATGCCAACTATATAATCTGTAGTTGCCTTCGTGCCTCAGGCACAGCATACTAGCGCGCCCTACTTCCTATAAGTAGGGCTTCACTCTTCCATAGCTCTTCTACCCTTATGGTACAATATAAGTCTTTACCCGTACCTTGACACTTATCAATAGTATTCAATATTAATATAATATTGAATATCTTCAGTAGTATTGAATTTTATATTATGTATGTATATATTTCGAAAAAAATCGATATGCACCACTAAACTAACCCGTATATGAAATACGGGAAATACTATTGCCTACACTGGGGAGGAGGACGAAATTTTTGAATGGGATCGCGATCTTGGGATATGCAATTTTTGAGGAACTGACTCGGACTTGACGTAGTTCATCTGAGGAGATTGGATTTTTAGGAGGGGGGTGTAGAAGGTGGGAATTCTCGTGGCTGGCTGGCTGGCTGCTGTTTGATCTTATTGAAGGTATGGCTGGCATGGTGATGGGGAAATGATGGAGTTACTAGCTGATTGTGAGAGCTGAGCACTAGTTGATAAAACAAGAAGTTTACTAAAGGAAGATAAGAATTTGTTCTTTGAACTTTTTTGGGGGGGGGGGGGGGGTTCTTCTATACAGCTCTAGCTCTAGCTCTCTATAGTAATACTACTATTATCTTTATGGGAATTACATCGGTACTAACATTTACAGAGATCTAGAGACGCCGAGAATATAATCAGAATTTAACATTGTTCTTGCTGCATACGATGGAAGTATGAGAATTTATTGAATCAAAAAGTCTTTACTTCTAGTCGCCGATAAATGTTTGCCGAGCATTGGAGATATATAGTCTGATGGAATAAGTGGTGTTCTAGGTCATGAGCTGTATATTAGGTAAAACGATACTGAAGACTCTGTGTATTCTTAATAGTGACTAGATCTTCTTTCACGGTTAAGTGATTGTTTTTCAGAGATCGTACATTTTATTCTCAACGAGGGTTATCTGCTATAGTCAATGAAATCTTGAATTGTATTACAAGATGACTTTATCTGCCAAGGAGTCAGAAGTCACTACTCTATGTTGAGCACTTGGTGCTTCTAGGCTTGCCTCGAGGGTCTCGAACTAGGCAAGATCAAATACATCTCGGGGCTAGAAGTCAAGTGACCATGATGTGGTCTTTGCTGGTATGCACTGTTTGCTTTGCAATGGTATGAGGTATTCGACACCCTTTTTATACCCGAGTTTATCTCCCTGTGGAATGACAAATTCGTGGAGTGTTGTTACACCCCTAAGTGCTAGCACGGGATGTATATCAAGAAGCGGGTAGGACCCGAAGTCTACAATCAAATGATATTTTCATGACTCCAGACCATATAACTTCGGACATCCTTTTCCCTTTCTGTGGAGTTCAAGCCCATGCCCCTCATGTATTAGCGTGGCATCCACAGTCATATAGTCACACAACTCGTGGAGTATTTTCGTCTGATGTCTCATTTGGTAATAAAAAACACAATGATTAGAGGTTGAACCACATTACTTGACACTGGCACTCCCGATGCCAAATCGGCTTTATGGGTTATGAGTACGCGAATGAAAGCAACGTTCCTTTTTTTACTACCACAATCCGAAGCAAATATACTGGCACAATGTTATAAAATTAGACACTACCCCTAGATCTCTTACTTTTCCTGACCTTTGAAAGTTTTTCTCTTTGACGTTTGTATCGCGCATAAAACATTTTCTCGTCGACAAGAACCCAAAACTAAGGTCCAACAATTCGCACCGACGATCTACATCCACGCTTCACAATGCACTTGCCATCCGTCTTCACTTTCGGATTCACAGCCGTTCGAGCTGTTTTCGGAACACCTATTCCAGTAAGAAATCTTTATCTCATTGTTCCGCTTTAACGACTCAACATTCACTCACATTATCTGCATGACACTCGCGCAATTTTCGTTAACTCTTTCAAGAGACTTCCTACATCCAGCGGAAACATTACAGCATATAGTAATAATGCCCATATAGTGAGTATGCATAGAGCGCGATTTACTAAGTCCCCGTGAGACTACTGACAGCTGTCGCCTGGCTCAGGAATCCCATCTATCGAAACGATCTTTAGGTTTCAATGAAATCATTGAGTGTCCGGAAGGGTTTACGTCAAGGGATGGTGGCAGAACATTCACCTGTGTTTCTATTCATCTCAAACTGGAGAAGCAAAACTGAGAGGTTCGTGAGGATGGATATTGGTTGGAACATCAAGGCAAACAAGGAGGCTAAAAGAGCTGTTTCTGCGAGTGTGTAGAATCCGCTGGAGGATAGAACTTTCTACTATCTGAGAGTTCTGGCAAATGGCAGTGTGGTAGGGTCCGGATACAAAGACTTGAATGGGCTGGCTAGCGTGCAATTTGTATCTTATAACGTGATGTGGAAATAATGGCGTTTATGGGTTCAGGAATTGAGTTTGGGAAAGACCTATGCAAATCTACACATCTATAGATGTAATCTCTAGGAATGTATATCTCGAGAGCTGGAAGCTGTGACGCTCAATATTTTAATCAGACGAGGCATTATGAGATGCTTGAATTACAATTGGATATAGTTTCAAAAAATAAGCTACATACTTAGATTGAGAAATAAGCTCAATACACAAGAAATCTAGCACGGTCGGTGGGTCTCCCCAGGGGTGAAAGGAATATGTGATTTTCATCAAGAGAACAGAGTCACAGACCTGCAGTGAAACGTATTGAATGATATTCGTGAGAGGTTTCCCCTCACTCTCTACCTTTGGCTATTGGTTTGTTATACTGCATCATCTTTTGTAGCACTTGCACGAGATTCGCAGAGAATGTAACACACTTGTCTTTTCATCCCTGTACAATTTTTGAATGTCACTCGCATGTGCTGCTAACACTTTCTGATGTCGGGGTGGGTAGCCAGGAAAAAGTTCTAACCATGTTCACTAAGTGTTCAGAAACGGCCTCGAGATTGAAATTTGTTTGACTCTAACCACCTAATAATATACAATACACCAGAGCTGGTACAACACCCACGTTAAACACCATGCATCTCCGTGTCCACTATTTCACCACTCTCTATTCCAGGATCATCAACAACATCCTCAACTATAAAATCATCCGGAATTCTAAAAATTTCCAACGACCTCTGTGCGTTTTCGTCCGTGTGCCACTCTGTAGCATGTTGATTATAGTTCTTCTCATAACATTCCTCGGAGCAGAAAAGAGCCTTATGTCCACTAACCATGCAAACTTTGCACAAACACATCCCATCATGGGATACCTCCTCATCTGCACTAAGCTCCGAAAGGCAACAATCTTTCCAATGAGCACTCAGGCAATAGTGATCAGCTTTGTCGTGATCTTCATGGTCCAGAAGCGCATGACTAGGAGAACAATAATAAGTCCTTTTATGATCTCTATCTTCTGGAACTTTGGACGCAATCCAGTCACATAAGATGCATTGTATTGCACCTTCTGGTACGGATAGATCCGCATCTTCATCACAGCCATCGTATGAGCAAGGCGCTTTACTCTCCTTTTCCACTTGCTGATGATGTAGATATTTGAGTGTATCTTTCTCCGCTTTCTTTGCTTTAGCTTTGAGATGCGCAGATTGTGCAAGGTTAAGTTCATTCAGGCGATGCTGTAACTGTGCTATCTCGGCATCCTTCGTGCGAGCACTCTCTTTCTTCATAGCGGCAACAACCTCATCGTAGGGAATTTCATTCTCAAACATTCGAGCATATTTACTTTTGTAATTCCGTACACTGATAGAGTCCGATTCCAGAGGGCTGCAGTAATATGAGATGTAAATTGGAATTCGTTTTTTATGAGTTGTAGTGTCGTGTAGGTGAAGGATGAAATCTACTTGGTCTGGGTCTGGACATGTCTTGATGTACTCCGTTAGGTAAGCATTCAAAACTTTTGAAATATTTCTCCCTTGATCTAGTTCCATTGCGATGCGGTCCTTGAATTCGATAACATCCTCAGAATCATCCGGTCTATGTGCACAAAGATCCTTCTTTAAATGTGCCCGAAATTCGTAATCTACTCTGGTGTGAATCTCGTCGAGCCTGTGGACTTTAGGTTGTTCGAACATCGACTGTAACTCTGCTTTATAGTCAAATAATTTAGAGTACCAACGATCTGGATCTTCTGAGAGATACCAATCCTGATAAGCTTTGCGAGTCTGACGATCCTCTCCGATGCAACTCTCGCAATCCTTATGGTCAGTGGTGTGTGGTGTTGCAAAGGGGCTCTCGTAAAACTTTTTGATACTTTCAAGAGTCTTTCTGAGAGCTTCATGATCAATACGATAATTATCTGCATGTTCAAGACGCTCGCCCAATGTAAGAGGATAAGTTTGACCTTGCGGTCTCAATTCAAATGAAGTATCTCTGTGATGTGTGTCAGGAAAACGCGTTGTCACGTGAGTGTCCCGACTTACTCCATGACCGTTTAAACATGCGCCTCTTCGAAATCGAATTTAACTGAGGACCTCAATTCATCGACTCCAGTAAGATCGATAATTCTAAGTGATATGTGGATGGCTAAGTTTGTCAGTTATGAAAAATTCAATCTTGTTAGTTGCTCAGATGTGATTGTATAACAGCTTGGGAAATAATGCCATTTAGAGCTAGCGGCCGCTGGATGAAAGACGGACCGGGTAAACGTTCAATTACTAGTAAGTATCTCTTGACTTGATTCTTCTTTCCAGCACAACCCGTCAATCAACACAGAATGGTAAGCTTCTTTACAATTCAATCCTATTTCCGTGATCGCGTTGCATTCGCGACCCATGTTTCCTATATGTTTCCGGCGATAATGCCAAGGTAAACAACAAAATCACTACTGATACGTTCTTGGGTATAGGCAGACAAACTTCGCGCGCAGCAACAGCTTGAACAGCTCCAGCAGCGTTATGTTGGGACGGGCCATGCTGATACAACAAGATTCGAATGGACGAGTAATATTCAAAGAGATTCGTATGCCTCGTATGTGGGCCACCCGCCTTTGTTGAGTTACATGGCAATTGGAATGGGAAGTCCAAGGGAGATGGTTAGGAAAAATATGATTGAGGTGTGTAATTTTGTACACCCTAAGCCTTTTTTTCTAGACTTGGATATTATTGGATATGCGAAAGGAGGAATTAAGATGGAGACTAACATTCAACAGAAAATGATACAACCAGTTGGAAAGCCCCCCGAGGTGCAGGATTAGCGATCTTTTTTGCATGGAACCTTCTTAAGGAAAATGAAGAGAGGTAGAAAGGTGTGTTTGAGAACTTGCTAGCATGGCTTACAGATGTGATGTTAATCATGTATTTAGGATATCCATTCGATTGAAAATAAGGGAATCGCATATCGACAACACTCATGGACACGACAAGATAATATCGGAGTGCGGAGCTAGGGGAGGATTGTTCAAATTGATATCGGCGAGGAGTCATACTATGGTGTTAATGGCGCAAACATATAATGGGAGTCAGATTGATATCATATTACGAAGCTTTATAAGAGGATAAACAATTCTACGAGTTCTCGCGTGTAATCGAAGAAATAACACATCGGACATCGCATTTGCAATAGCCCAATATCTCACATCCCCCGTTTTCGAATTCGATATTTTTAATGATGATGAATTTACCATAATTTCCTATGGCGCAATGATATCCTTTCGCCATAAAATGGGCACAGAGTTTCTCTCAAGATCAGGGTCAAGGCCCAAGATGAATTTGGGCGTAAGTGAAAACCACTAAATACTTTGTCAGGATTTATTGTGAACATGGTTCAAACTCAATTTGCAGCAGTACTCACACACCTCACATTTCCACATGTGATATAAATTAATGCTTTTTTCCGTCACTCAATTTAAGAGTATTTCATGATTCAAATAATGACCCAGATTGCTTTACTCGAGCATCCAAAACTCCCGTGGCCCTGATATGTGCACTACGTTTCGCAGCCAAACAATCGAATCTTCCCAAAATAACGCCCGCTTCACAACCGCATTTACCATTCCGTTCAATGCATCGACTATTTATTCATCATCTTCATCATCGTCTTCTTCAGCCGCTCCTCGTCGCGGCCTTCCCCTCGCGGCAACCCTCTTAGAGCTTGATGCACCATTTTGTTCGGGCACTTCCGTTCCTTCTCCGTTCTCTCCATGAGCTACCTTTCTCTTTCCTAGTCCCAAGCTACGCTCCAATCGCTTATCAAGATCCTCCGGAGCATGCTCGCCATAAACCTCCTTCACCAGTCCTTGCACACCTTTCGAACCGATCTCCATCCTTCCTCGAGGTCCTACTCTCCATTCGATCAGCTCCTCTCCATCATTTCTTTCGATAGTTCGGGTTATGTAATTTTGTTGCATCATCTTCTTCAAGATGAGAGTTGTCTTGTCCAGGGGCAGGTTTGTTTCCGCATTTAACTTTCTTAGAACTGACGTGAGCTTGCTGTCTGTCATTGTTGAGTCAGGGCTCAGCATTATGACAGAAACCACCGTTGTATAGAATCCTATATATGTAGCTTCATCCCACTGGCTAATAACTTTGGAAGGCTGAATAATCGAGGATGATCGGTAATCGATGGGTAGAATACTTGTGAGAATATATGAGGAAGTTGTCGTGGATTTCGACTTTCTGCTAGCCTCCTCTGAAGGGGAGTAATTAGTTGGAAACGTAAAAAGGGAAAAGTTCAAAGTTACTCACTCAATCGGCCTTTAACAGTGACATTTTCTTTAGCGGGGAGTTCGACCATTTCCATGCCAAATATGATTCTCAGCGATTCTTGTGCCGGTTCAAAAATAGATTTAAAGGATCTCGATTGTGCTCCAAGAACCTTCTCCTTGATACCAGTTCTTGTAATTGGTAAACGCTGGAATTCGCACGCCAAGGCATATCTGACCAGTTTCTTCACAACTTGATCCAAAGATTCCTCCCTATCCAAGCCCATGCCTTCACCTGTTGCATCGTCCTCATCATCGTCGCCATCCTCATCTTCTTCTTCTTCTGACTCTGGATCTGGGCGACGGCGTTGCTGAGTGTTCCGAGGTATTTCTTCTTCTGACTCCTCATCTTCCCTAACCTGCCGGGATAAGTTAGCTGTCAAGCGCGGGGGTCATTGAGAATTGGAAAGAGTAAGATGGGTGTAAATTACGACTTGTCGCCCACCTCTGCGGGAATTAGCTGGCATATTGAGTTCTCTAGGTATGATCGTTCGTGAAAAATCAATATCTTAAATGTATTTCCGTGTTTATGATATTATCGCTCTTTCCCAAGGAGCGGGAAAAGTTAACTTGAGTTGGGGAGACGCGACCGACCGCGTTTGGTCGGAAAAACTAATGCAGAGAAAAATCGGCCGCCTTCTCCGGTTCTCAAAAAAAACATGAAGATTTCCATGACTGAAAGTAAGACAATTATAACTTTCCCTCGACGAATTTTCAATCCGCATACATGATTCGCCGACATATATCTGCGGCGCATATATGCTTGAGATGCCAATACGATTAGATCGAAGGCCTTTACCATCCCTCGCCCGAAGAGCGTATTCTACCGAATTGGATGCAGATCATGAAGGCAATGGGTTACAGACGTCGAATTGTTCAATCGCAGGGAAGTCAATTGGACAGCAATGGAGACACAGAGTTTCATACTAGGGAAAACGACATAGACACAACGAGACCCAAAGAATGGCCACCAGAATGGCACAACGATATCGTTATAAGAAGACATTATGGTGCCGTGAAGCCTCCAAGACCAAGTCGCGGCGTTGAACAGCCCAAACCAGTAAAACGGACCAACCCAGTAAAAGATATCAAAGAATCTAATCCCAAGATCTATGGACACACTGGAATAAAGCAGGTTGGAAGCAGTGTGACATTATCAGGTGTGGATGCGTTGGGGAAGAACGCTGAAGTCCTTGTCTTGCGAGATTCGAAATTGAGATTTTATAAGGCGAAGAATAAGAGTCCTCTTGATGCAAATCCAACGCCCGAAAATATTGATATTCTAGCTAGGCTTCAAAGCGAAAGAGGAATTGTCTCTTCGAAAGATGTCGAAGCACATATCAATGAATGCAAGCCTGCAGAGGGAACTATACAAACGTGGGACGATTTCAACGGTCTCGTGCAATTATTGCAGAAAAGTTTCACAAATCCTCAAATGAAGAAGTACATCCAGTCATACCCACAGGAAGAAAGAATGAGGAAAGTACCATCCCTCGGTGTTGGAATTTTATACGACGAGAACGCAATTTCTCGAGCAACTCCGTGGGTACCAGAAATCTCCCCTATAAACCAGCCAGTCGATGATGATCCCTTACGGGGATACTCTCCAGCATCCTATAATTACAAACAAAATATTGCGGTAAGGATCTTAAGGGAATGTTGGCAAATAGAAGTTCCGGAACTTGTTGATGGAATAGGTGAAGTCGAAGTTCAAGTTCAGATAAAGGATCTAGACTTTTTGAATAGTGCGTAAAATCAGACTTTTGTTCCCTTCCACAACTCAGCTGATGTAGTGTAATGTCTAGGCCAGGGATACATGGAATCTTTGATCAAACAATATTATCTAAACGACCCCGAAAAGATTGAAATATATCGACCTCGTCAAGTTCTTCGTATCACCTCGACCCGAGAAAAGGCTGCCCTCATTATTGCTGAGATCCAGGATGGAATACGAAGTATTAGTAGGGAGGAGTTCCAGTTGAAAGATTTATGCTTTTCTCATTACATCAGAGGGTGGGAGAGTAGAATTCTTACTCCAGAAGTACTGGCTAAACTTGGTGAATTGACTAAAACGGATATCAGAAGATTGCCACACAAAGAGCCGATTGTTAGTCTTCTTACATTTCATTCCACGCCACACACACTAACTATTTACAGCTTCTGATTTCATCCATGGTTACCGACCGAAAAACAGATCTGTCAAAACGGGCTGATGTGGTGAGACGTCTGTTACTAGATCTAGCCCGGTTCGATGGGTCTGATCAGAATTCAAGGAAAGTTGGGTTGCGAGACTTCAACGAGTCTTCTCCCACAGTGGACTTGCCTGGAGGTTTTGTTAGATATCCAGGGTCGCGTGAGCTTTCTTGGCACGAAAGGCTTCGTACGTGGAGTCGATGGACTACAGCCACCCCTAAGTCCGTAGCCATCGATAACCCAACTGAAGCGACTCAATACACTTTTCCTTTCAACACTGTGGACATAAAACTAGCTGGAAACCCTCAGAAGAACCCCGACCCTGAAGGAGCCGAACTTTTATGGTCTCATGAGTATTCGCCCTCTACCACGATCAAAGCCGGAACTATCTTACACAATATTAGCGGTCATCGGATTGGAAGATATATCGATGATGACGTGGAGCATTCAAGGGGACCACCCGCGATTTCACCCGACAAGACATTGAATATGATCAACTTGAAGACAGAGATGGATAATGGTTCAATCCGTATATTTTCCCCACAAGCACCGAATATGTCAGGACTATTTCAGTCAGATCATATCCAAAATGGACATTTTGATAATGCAAATCAGGAACTTGTCATGCAATTCAAACCTAATCCATCGGCGGTATGTCCAAATGGCGACACAATTGGGCCTTCCGCTTTCAAGGACTTTCCTCCGATAGAGATTTCTTTCATCATCAATCGAGAATCTTTTGAAGTAGAATTTCGGGAGCTTCATGCTATAGTTTCTACTGAGACAGCGGATTTGATGCTTCCTGAACTCAAAGCAGATCTCCAGTTTCAAAGAAGGATTCGTTCAAGAATGTTGTTCGATGAATCTAAATCAAAAAGTGGGTTGGGTGGTCTGAAATCAGCCGCAATCTCTGTGAAGAAATTCATTCAGAATTCTCAACTAGATCTAACCAGTGAGCGACAATTGGAAACACCACCGAAATTAGTCATTCCCCTCGCTAAACATCTTTGCACTGATAATGGCTGGAAACGCATGAAGGGCCAGCCAAGATCGGGTGTTGATGTTGAATATTTATTTGCCAAGCTTGAATACAGAAAGAAGACAACTTACAATTTCAACAATCATGAAATATGCTGCACGAGTATCGAAGCAGGAAAAGCTGGTGGTTCACATTTGGAATTGAGTCTTACATCTCGATCCATGCCAAATCAAGATGAATTTAACGAGACTATGAAGACAGCGTTGAAGATGGTACAGTTGATGGATATCAAGAATTTCACAAGCATCTATGGGCAGGTGAGAGAAACGTTCCCAGAACGAAAAGAACCAGTCTTGGGCCCTGATGATTTCAAATTCATACCAAAGAGGCCTAGTGATTTCTTGGACGTGAAAAGACTGTACGAAGAAGACGATGAAAAAAGATCCAGGTTTGACAGTGCGCCGGCTAAGGAGGAGGTTGATGAATCGCAGGTGTCGCCGAACAAAGGTCAGGAGTCTCAAGATCATGGAAGTGGAAGATGGTAACTGTTCAATGGATTTTAAGTCACATGGTTATGAACACTGTAAAATGCTGTAATATATGACATTATGAAACAAAAAGGGATCTGGAGTCATAAAGGAGAACATGGAGAGCATTGCTGTCGGGTCTTTTATATATCCAACACGACTCCTTTGTTAGATATTAGATGTTACTTGTGAACACTCATACAAATACTATACAACCAACTCAAACATCCGATATCCGACTTCCAACTTCAACGCAAGTTGGCAACGTACCTTTTTCTAGCTCTATACCACTGAAGTATTGCCTTATATGTGTGACTTTCATCATATTGCGATCAATCACGGGCCTCGAGCAGGTCATTATCGATCGAATCGATCAAAGATCAGAAGGCGTGACAGCGTACAAGTCTCTTCTTGATAGAAAACTACGTTTGAGAAGAACAGTCAACCATTAATTCATTTCCATGAACATGTAGAGTGACTTCCGCGGTGCATCAATCCTCCAACATGTGTTCCGAAATAAAAATAAAAATGCGGATTCCTCGTCATCGAAGATATCTCGTTCACACATACCATCGGGGGACGCTGACACCTTGTATTTATAATTATGCATGAATAGCCGTTGTCTTTTAAGCCTTAGCACTTGGAGTACGATTGAAATCCCGGAAAGAAGATCGCTATCCACATCATTGTGGCATATGGCATTCACTACATTTCGGTCCTAGTGAGAAAGTAAAAGGCCGGATGGAAGGAACTAGTATTGTGCTTTGAGCGAGTGCAACCCGTAATCATGGATATCCATTGCGATTGGAATTTACAGCGTGACAGGAGATTCACGTTGGAGATCAGTAACCTTTCCACAACAAACAACATCTTCTCCAAGCGGGATCCACTTTACTCCTCTCAACCGAAATGTCTCCTTTCCGAGATTTTCCCTTTCTGGAAGGACAGTAACTCCCCCCTTCCCAAGCCATACTGGTGCTATAGTTACTATGACTCCATCTATAAATCCTTGACCTTCAGCGAGCATGTCATTAATAATTCCAGCACCTCCTTCGATCATCAGGCTTTCGATACCTTCTTTCCAGAGCGCTTTTAGAATATCTTGCCATGAGAATCTTCCTTCTTGGTCCGGTGATAAATATATGAACTTCCCACTCGCCGCTCTGAGAAATTCTCTCTTTTCAAATGATATCTCATTTCCTTGCTGAGAAGTAATAATCCAAGGAGCTTTCCCTCTACCATCCTTCACCAATCCGAAAATTTTACTGTCCTCTCCGAAGTTCCATCGGCCTTTAGGATCAATTATAACCGGTCTTGGTTGCCCCTTCAAAGTTTTTCCTCCTCCATAACCTCCAACCCCTTCTATTCTGCAGTTCAAACTTGGATTATCTGCAATTGCTGTATTGACACCAATCAATATAGCATCATGTTTCGATCTCAGGTAATGCGTCATTGCTTTTGAAGCTGGGCCAGATAAGGGTGAACCAATGCCGGGACGCATAGTGATCTGAGAGTCCATGGAGGTGGCAAATGTGAGTGTTGTATGTGGAAGTGACTTTAAGTGAGCAGCTGCAATAGAACTTTTGGATGGTAGGTAATCATCTATTTGGGCGCGATCAGTTTCTGGGAAGCGGAGAATGTCCCTGGTGGAAGACATTGTATTTTGATGACCCGATAATCTAATTATGAATCTTTTAGAATGATAATTTCGTCTTGGAGTGTTACAGATAGTGCGTTGGAAAGAGTATTGTCAATACGATCGCATTCCCGTGGTCTGCGTTGAGTTTGTGCACGTGAAAACAGAAATTCACGATCGAACAAAAGCGTCTTGGTCATGTGACTAAGATTGGTTAATACTCCTACAGACATATCTTTTTTCGACCAGATTAATCGAAACTCATTTTCTACATTTTTCCATGTACTTTTCCATATACTTTTCCATGTATTTTGGCTACCTTTCCCGTGCTCCAGTGATACAGAAAATTGATGGTGCAGCCGGAGCGATGACATAGTTCAATTGACAGTGTCGCACTAGGCTGCTCTGATGATTTGGCGATATATCACTGTTGTGAGATGTCATAATATTCTGCTGACGAACATATAATCCATTGTTGCGTTTTACACTCATGTATCATGTCTTTGTACAACCGGGAAGTTCGGCTACAATGCGGAGAACATTCTTTTGGTGCAGAAAGACTTGGAAATTTTCAGATATTGAATGTTAGATTGCAGTCTGCTAGCGCTTGCTCTGTCACTTTAAAGCCGCCTCTGGTGTATATCTCCTTTGTATTTCACCCAGTTTAAGAACCAGTTCCCTGTCTTTTTGATCTCAATTGTTTTCTGTCCCGCCTGCGCGATTTCCTTCGATGGCTAGAAATTTTTTGAACCCTACCTACTGTTCAAACACAGCAGTCCAGTCCTCTTTATTCATCCACTCTTCCAAAGTAGTCATGGAGCATTTCACCCCAGCCTATGTATTCAAATTAGCTACCAAGTCTCTTATTACTCGCGGATCTCATTCTTCTTCCCCACAATAGATTTTACAAACCTTCTCAATATCTTCCTTCACCCACAATGTCTTATCACCTCCATCATATCCCGGGTCGCTAGAATAGACGAACATAGCATTCAATTCCTCTCCGAAAGATTTATCCTGTTCTCGTCCCACAAACTCATCTTCTGTGCATTGCCTATATGTCGCAACCTTCCCAGTAGTTTCGCTCCATAAACGAATATACTCGCTCCAAGAACAGTTGCTACCGCATGCCATGTAGCTCTTACCAGGTGGAAGCTGTGAAACGGCATAAACAAAAGAACCAAGATCATTGTTTATAGCAATATGAGGAACTGCTTTATTCGGGGTCGTTGGGAAACTCATTTGGAAAGTTCCGTCCGGTTGCTATTCAGTGTCAGGTTAGCTGGTGATATCTCCTCATATCACCACATACGGTTGTGGAGATGTCAATAATTGAATGACCATCCTAGGCATTTGTGCGATATGTAGACGAACGAACAAAAGAACAAACCTTTCCCAAATAACTTTTCACAGCCAATTTATAACTACTTGTAAAGTACCCCGTCATAACACAACTCATTTTTCCAGCCAGTTCCCCCTCTCCTCCATATTTCTCCCTCACATAATAAGGGAAAATATCAGCCTTTGCATCATGATGATACACTTCCGTAAACTTTCCTTTACTAGATTTTCCAGCATGACTCAACGTACTCGCAATGAACCCATTTACATCAAGTCCTGAAACGACACTCGAGTGAGCAGCAGCATCAGCGATATTCTTTCCTTGTCGATACTCAACATCATAGGCATATTTCCGGCACGAGATTCCAAGCTCCTGAGCTTTTTGACGACAATCGGGACGGAAGAAAGGTTCCCAGTAATTTGTGACGCTAAATATGAGGTGCGCACCCCGAAAAGCAGGGATCAAAGAGTTTACATCATCTAAGTCCGCTTCCACGATCTCAACGCCTTGCGCGGAGAGTGAGTGAGCTGTGGCGGATGATTTATTTCGTGTTATTCCGCGGACTTTGTAGTTGGAGTCCTGAAGAAACCTTTGGGCGACGGAATTCCCTTGATTGCCTGTTACACCGATGATTACGATTAATTTGGTCATAATGATTGGAGTGGGGATAGGGATGGACATGGCTTTGTTTGAGCAATGGGATGATTATTGATTGATAATTTTTGGAGATGGCACCGAAAAATAACCTTATAACCGATTTCCCTACTACGTGCACGTCCCTGCTATATGCACGATCTCGATCACCCATTTTGAATAACTTTAAAAATTAATAACAATTTCAATTTATAAGATAAAGAGCTAGCAATTTAATTGATAAATGACAAGATATAATATTATCTAAAAACATAATAAAATCTTCAGATTTTGAATTTCGATGCAATTTATAGTACTTGTTTTTATCAGATTGCAATATAATCTTTTCCTCTTTTCTTTTTGAATTATTAGTCTTTACAGTATTAGAGAGTTTTATAGTCTTTATTGATATTAGATTATAGTAGAAGAAGCTTTGGGAAACTTTTTATTTCTTTTGATTGGAGATTTTGTTGATTTTAGAGTCTTTTTAATTTCTTCTTTTGTATTATATACAATCTAACAATCAATTTTCCTTTATAATATCCTCTTTTTTGTTTTAATCTTTTTTTGTTCTTTTTCAGTTTTCTTTTTAGCTTTTATTTGAAGCTTAGTTTTCTTTTTTTGTTTCTTTTTAAATACTTTATTTTTTTGATATGCTTTAGTTTAATAATAGTAGAAGGTGATTATAAAAACGCATTATTCCTTTTTTCTTCAATGAGATTTAAATACTTTGAATAAGCTCTTTTCCTTTTTTCAAGCTTTAGAGTCTCTTCTAAATCTTTAGATTTATACCCCTGTATAGAAGCTTCAGCTTCTAATGTAGTTGTAGTCTTAAAAAGTTTTAAAGTGATTTTATGGGTGGGAGTGTGACGAAATTCTAATTTCATTTTATGTATTGCTTTTGATGTATACGGTGTAGCAAGAGTATCCCTGCAAATTTTTAAATGATGTAGGTGGTGTAGGAGGAGTTTCTGGAGCAATACAATTGATTGTAAGATTCTTATTTATAGGATATATACTTGTTTTTTCGAAGGATTGTAAGATATTATGCTTTGTATAAGTAAGCTTCCAAGCCTTTTTAAATATATCCCAAAATATATGTTTTGTTATATCAATAATCTTTTTACTATTGTGTATCAAATATTACGGGGCAGGCGGGCGGAATAGGGTTCTAATAACTTTGCCCTAATCTGGCAAGGTTATACTGATTCGGATAATAGGTTCAGATTGAGGATTAAGACGTAGCTCAAAGAGCTACAATACAGGATCTTCTGAGTTGAAGATATACGGAATTTTCACAGCGAGCTAGCCCGATCGGGTCCTAGCTCGCTTGCGCTCCGGTGCGAGCGCTCCTTTCGGTCCTCTCCGATAGGACCAGCATATCACGTGAGCTCACACCGTGACATC